AGCCATGGCTCTGATGTGCGGCTTTTAGCGGCTGCCGACCGCTTGAAGATGGCACTGCTCTGCAATGCGTGCCCACCGGCGATGGCCGACGTCTTTGAAACCTGGCGCGCCGACGAACCTGCATGGGACTATGCATACGTGCGGCGTCAGCTTGTCGAGCACTGGGCCAAGAATCGTCCCTTGGTCGGAGATGCCAGTCCGCCAGCATTGGTCGCCGATGTCCCACCCGTGGAGGCGCCGCCAGCGGTGGTCGAACGTGCGTCGGAGGCGTCGGCTGCGAACGAGCCGGCAGCCGATGAGAATCTGGATGTACAGATTCGAGCGTTGGCCCGCGACTTGGCACTGGCATCACACGAAGCAGACCGTCCAAGCACCGCCGCCGCCGAAGCCACCGCGCGTGACGTTGACACGACGGACGCTGTCATGGGTGCGCTGTTACGTCTGCATACACGTCGATATTTATGATGTCGTAGAGCTGGCGATCGATGACGACGTCGACGCTGCACCGGCAAGCACAAGCACAAGCTCGACCAATGGCCGGCGTGAAAAGCGCGGTCCCGATGCGACTGATGAATCACAGGACAGCGCGAGGTACGGACCATGGATGGTCGAAGGCGGGATGATTCCGTGAGCTGTAGTCAACAAGGACACAAGCGGCCCAAACCCGCATCGACGCCCATAGTGCCCCAACGTACGAACGTGATTCGCAGTTTTTGGCCGACTCGTGGTTGTCCCTAGAGGCTGTCGGACGGCCGCAAGAATACACTGGCACAAGAATATCGCCACGACAACACCTCATTGCATTGCGGTATGCACTGGAGCACCGCAGTGTAGACTCTCATAAGCGAATAGCGTGTTGCATCCGTCGCCAGCAGCGTCTTCGCCCGACGTGGTTGATAGCAACTCGGACATAGCCAAGGATACGGGAGGAGGCACGTGGCGCTTCACAGAGGAAGAAGTCGCGTTCTTGTGTGAAGCGCGCCAACTACCAAGTCGCCCGTTTCGCGCCATCTACAGTCTTGGGCGTGATCGGGGCCTCTTCCTCACCCGACCGCTCCGTTCAGTACAGGTATCAATGCTACCTCGCTACTGCACATGGACCGTCACAACATCCACTGTAGGCCAAGTATTCCCGCATGAAAAAGGTTGCGACGGCCACCGTCTCGTCGACTTCAGTTGATGCTACGCCAGGTAATAAGAACAAATAGCATGTGCCCATTTTGAATCGAATTGGCTTTGGCACGATGTCTTGGTATTCACAGGCTCCTTGGCGCGTCTTGAGATCAAAACGTCGCGTCATAGAGCGACGCAGCGATTCGTTGGCACCAATAATAGGGAAATTCGTCTTGCGATTTCGTCCGAGTGACCTCCAATTCTACATTTATCGAATAGAGGAAGAATCACTGGTACCAGCGCTTCATTGACTTCTCAGTTTGTGCTGTGGGAGCGAAAGCCCAAATCCCCCGACAGACCGTTGTTGCCATTTCCGAGGTGCATTTGATTGGGTCGGCTGCCGCTTCCTTCACGCACAACGTGCCAGCACATCACACGTGTTAGCCATGATATAACACGTATTGGTTGCATAAATAATGTTATGTGGCATATAACGTGTCATGGCATTTGTTAGAACTCTGCCGCCAGTGATGTCAAGGCCGTACACTGGCCCGGTGCTCGCCCAGTGGAGCGGCGTCGCTGCGTGGAAGCGCGCCTTCCTCGACGCCGCCGCTACGCATGGCCTCCGCGAGCTCTACACGG